CCCCAGCCTCCCCAGCCCTACCGGTGATGGCTGTGGGCAGAGAGGGGGCAGCTCCAGGCAGCGGCTGCAGCAGGATAGTCTGGGGGGGGCTTGGGGCAGCCCCCCCAGGCCCAGTGGCCCCCCCAGGGGGCTTGGGCTGGATGGGGGGTGTCCGGCGGCTGGGGGGGACCCCCTCTGCCTTTACGGCCCGCGGTGCCTTCCCTGCTGCGGCATTAGGGGTGTCAGAGGGGGTGTTGCGACCCCCCCACTCCCCCTCATCTGTCTGTCTGCAGCTTACCAGCATCAGGAGGGGTACAGGGCAGCGGCGGGGTTGGTTCTGTCTTCACCCCCAGCTCGGGGGGACTGGGGGCCTGTGGGGACAGAGCTGAGAGGAAGGAGGTGGGCGGAGGGGGCAGCAGGGGGCAGCAGGGGCACCAGTGAGGGGGGACATACCCAGGCCAGGGGCTCGGAGGCAGAGGAGAGGCCAGAGGAGTCGGAGCAGTGGGACGAGGTGGGGGACCCTGGCTCTGACTTCACCTGCAGGTCTGGGGGGCAGCAGGAGCACGCGACTGGCAAGGAACCCTGTGCTGCCATGCCTCGAACGCCACCCCAGCACCCAGTAACCCCCCCAACCCCCCCCCAGAACCTCCCCAACAACCCCATATCGCCCCCCAGATTGCCATTATCCTCTCCAGCCCCCCGTATCCCCTCCCACCATGCCATGAACCCCTCCAACCCACCATACACCCCCCATAAAACCCCCCAGGACCCCCCTTCTGTCCCTCCCCACTCACCAGGGAAGAGGCTGGGGGGGTCCTGGTCCCACGGGGGGTCGGGAGGGCTGGCGGCCTCACCCCCATCAAAGGCACAGTCAAACTGCGGTGGGGGGAGGGATGAGGGTCTGGGACCCCCCAGGGGGTGGGGCTGGGAAGACCCCACCCGGAGGGGACAGAACTTGGCATCACCAGAGGGGAATGGGTTTACCATGGGGTTCGGGTCCAGGGACGGGAAGAGGTGGGAGGGCTCCAGCCTGTCATCGAGGCAACTGTAGAGAGC